CTGGGACGCATATACCTCAGAAGCAGTTTCTAGACTCTGAACAACCACTTTTTACTTGGTTGTTAAAATGGAGCGAACAAGACTTGGTCACTTTCATTGCTTTGATGCCTTGCTTAGTGTGAGATTCTGTGCGGAAGGCAGCCTGGCCGGCCTCCCCACCCAAGCTGGGCACAGTAACAAGTGAGGGGTCCCAAGGATCAGATGGAGGGGCATGGCTGCCTGGGAAGTCACATTGGTGAGTGGAATTGTAACTGACCGACGGGACCGGAAGTTGAAGCATGACACTGACAGGAGATCCTTTTCGGGGTGTGTAAAGATTTGGCAGCAGCCCTTTTTGCTGTGGATGGGAGTTAATCCTATGTCCTTTGATTGTGGCACTGGCTTGCACAGGCAGAGGGAGGGACCTTAGGGAATAAAGGAGGCCGGGTCTGAGGCCCTGTCAGCATTAGCAGATGCCCCCAGCCCTTGGTCCTTACACGGAGGCATCCTGGTGGGTGGGAAAGACCTGAAGTCCGGAGAAATCGCAGGAGGGCCTGCTCGCCGGGGCCGTACCAACGGCTGTGACCTCAGAGGGGCGACACCGCCCATGTTGCCGTGTCTCCACAGCCATCATTTACGGGAATAGGCCGTGCTGGCCAAGAGGACCCACGCCCAGAGCCCAGCAGGGACGCAGAGACAGGGGACTGACCTGGTTGTGCTCGTCCGGAGGCTGCAAGGGAGCCAAGGTTTAAAGATTAGCACAGAGCGTTGGTTTTCAAACCTCTGCAGTTAGATACTGTCTGAGAGCTTTCCTGACATCCCAGCCCCAACCGCTTCTTCAGTTCCTCCTCCCCATGTCTTTGTTCTCATGCTAAAGCACTCATCACCCCCAAATGACAGAAAAGAGCTGGTGGTGTATTTCATAAACAGCGGTGGTTCGTCGGCACACCCCAGCTCATCCCTCCGCTGCTGCCTCTTAGCCTCTTTCCCCTCCTGCCCTCTCTCCTTCTCTGGCTGAACTCTTGGGGTAGAGGGGGGGCTGGAGTGGGGGGCCGAGCCTCCTCTTCTTTCTTAGGCGTTGGTCCTTCCACTTTTCCAACCTCTGGTTAAAATATTGGCTTCAAGTCTCAGGAAGGGGGGTCACATGTCTCAGTAGGTCCTCCCCGACCTGCCTAAATCTTAGAAGTTATCATTTATCTCATGGCTTTGGAGTTGTGGCTTGGCAGCTAGAAAAACCCAAGCTTCTTAGAGGTGATAAAAGAAGAATGGGCGAGAAGCCAAAGGTAACACACTTGGCCGCCTCTGACGGCTGCCATCAGGGCCCTTTGCTTTTCCTGGGAGCCCAGCTCGGCTCATTTTCCACCGCTTGTTATCTGTCTGTGCACCCCAAAGGGAACCAGGGACAGAGCGCCTTGGTTTGCCCCGTCTGTCCCCAGGCGCGGTGCCCCGTCCCAGGGGAAGCCATCTGCTCACCCAGGGTCAGCAGCAGCCACACAAGCATGGGGGCCTGGCCTGGCCGAGGGCAGGGAATGCTGGTCGCCCCCAAAGCCAGGCTCCTCGGCTCCCACGCAGGAGGGCAGGACGGTGGTGCTCAGGAGAGATCTGTAAGAACCAGAGGGAGAAAGGGATTAGAGCTTGCCTTGGTCCTGGAATACGAGCGTGGCTGCCTTTCTAAACGCTGTTTGTGTTTCATCCGGCAGCATGCGTTTCAGTTTGGGTGTCCGTCTTCCAACCGCTCAGGTTTCTCAGAAATGTCTCCAAGGCTGTGCCTGGTTTCTCTGAAAATGCTGAGCTCTCTCTTGCTAGTATTCCAATCACTCTTTCTTCGCTTTCAAATGGGAAAGCCCTTTATTACCTTCAATTCACACAACCTTTGGTTCCGCGTGAGGCTTCCACCACACACACATGTGGAGAGGGCGGCGTCCTGCCAGGTTATGCTGTCTCACTCCCAAGGTGTCTGGCAGATTCAAAAGCCTTTGGGAACTTGACCTAAGCCACATGAAGCTGCTAAGAAGGCAGAAAATAGAAATGTGCAGATTAGCAAAAGGGGCTGTCCCTAGTCCCACCCAGGCCTGTGCAAATTAGACGATAAAAGACCCATGTCACCTGTGGTTCTTATGATTGCAAGACACCCTCGGCAAAGACCATCAGGAAACTCTAAACAAAAAAGGCTTGTTATTCACTGATATTAGAGAGCACATGACACGCTGGGCGCCACGCTGCAAAGACTCAGGCCCCAGCTTCTGCTTTTCTTGGAGCTCAGGGTGAAGGCTCACTCAGCCTGTGTGAATTCAAAGCCTACGAGAGGGAAGTCAGATCAAGGGAAGAGGAAAACCAAGTGCCCACGGGGTCGGTTATGGAAATCAAGAAGCACCGAGCTGGGTCTTCTCCCTTTTCTCTACTGTTACATCCCCTGGGCCGCTAACCGTTCTTTCTTGAAAGCCGGCATTTAATGAATACTTTTTGAGGGGCTGTGAGAAACTCTGGACGACTCTTCCTCAACATTCGATTGAGACCTAACTCAGGAGCTCTAGTCTATCTGGGTTTTTTGATACTTGTGTCCCTTAACTTTGTCATTTATTTTTCCTTCACCAAAGCTGTTCCTCATTATAATAGCATTCCTTTCCCAGAAGTTTTCTGGCTATTACTCCTCATTGAGTTTTCCCTGCTGACAATATAACCAGCTTCTCTCAAGAGAGTTAGGCTTTTTATTAGGATCTTCTTAAAATTTTAGATTAATTAAAGAAGAATTGGTATCTTGATGATGCGGAATTTTCCTATTCAACATATGTCTTTTTATTTTCTTTAGAGAGATTTTGGGTCAGAGTGTCATATATATATATATATATATATATATATATATATATATATATATATATATAGAGAGAGAGAGAGAGAGAGAGAGAGAGAGAGAGAGGCCTTCCACATTTCTTGTTAAGTTTAATTCTAAGATATGCATTTGCCTGTTTACTGAACAAGGAAACTTTTAAAGCACAGCCACAAAACTTCATGCTGTATGCCCTTCTTCCCACGGCTCGCTCACACTCACTCTGTGGGGCTGATATATTCTCTGCCCCTGGAGGAAATCTCGGGCAGGCTCCGAGCCTATCCACATCCTCAGGTGATGTTAAGTAAACACACAAAACAACAGCAACAAAAACAAAAGCCTAGTTTTCCAAAGAGTCGAGTTCTGTAATTAATGGGTTTGGTGTCATGTACTAATAATAAGAGCTCCCTGACCATCTAAATTAACGTTTTCACTCTTAAATAATAGTACTTACAGTGTCCCTGTTTTTAAGCGAATTTTTTTTCTAGTATTTATCTACTATCTAACATATTAAAACACTCCGTTTAATGAAGTTTCAGCATTCTTCTTAAGATTATTTTTCAGGAACCTTTAATTTTTGTTAATGCCTTTTTAGTACCTGTGGAGGTAGCCATATAATATTTCTCTTTTTCATCATTTTAATCAATGAATTATATCATCTTTGCACTCCTGGTAAAAATCCAATTTTAATTGTGTGGTTTTGGAATATAAACTAGCACTCTATTGGAGATTTTTTTTCATCAATATTAATGTGTGAAATTTGCCAGGCTTCTCATTATTGTGATATTTTTGGTTTTGCACTCCATGTTATTCTGTCTTTACAAAAGGAAGTTCAACATTTGCCTTTTTTGTGTGTGTTCTGAGATAGTTTACATAGCACCCTAATGATCTGTTTTGTAAAGGCCATGAACTCACTGTGAAACCGTTTGCACCTGGTGAAGTCCTGAGAGGCAGCTCTTTTTCGAACTTTCTCCATTTCTGCCCTGGGGACAACACTGTCAGAGATGCTGCCACCAACACGCAGGCCTCCCATGCTTTGGGACACATGCAACGCTTGCATTTCCCTGCCTTCTTGAAGGCAGAATGCGTTGTTCCCTGGCAGAAGCATCTAAGAGGGAAGGGTCAGTTCGTTTCCCCTTCCCATGTTTTGGTAGTCATGGAAACATGCCACGTTGGCGGCACCTTAGGACTGAGACGGCTCCGTCAGCTTAGGTTCCTGAGTGACAATCGTGTTAGAACCCCTAGCAGATCTGTGCTGGGAGTGTGGCTCCGTGGTAAATGAACCTCTGTGGCTTTAAGCACTGCAACGTGAGGCTTGTAAAACAGAATAAGAGTCCATCCTGTGACCATCTGTCTGCATTTTCTTTCTCCTCCAGGGAATTGACCTAGGAAATCACCTGTGTTATCCAAGGTTCCAAATTTACTTTCTCAGAATTGAGCAAAGTGGTCTTCTGTGATACTTCCAGCTTCCCCTGTATCTGTGGTTATTACCCCATACTTTCTCCTTTTTTTTATTCATGAAATAGTGTAGGAAAGAAACGGTTTATCCAGTTTTTTCATTAAAAAGTAAAGCTATTAGAATTATTTGATCTACCAATTTTGCTTTCTAATTCTAGAATTTCTGCTTCTATCTGTGTTAGCTGCTGCCTTGTTAGTCTCGTTGTTTTGAACAATTTGGATATTTAATGCATTTGCTTTCCTTTGTCTTATAAATTTATATATGTATCAGCAGCTTAAGACTTAATTCCCATAAATTTATGTTATAGACATATGTGGTGTTTTTCATAGTTTTGTTGTGAATTACCAGTTGCACTATGATCAGAGAACATTATTTATACCACATCTACTTTTAAGAATATTTTGAAGTTGTCTTTGAGAGCCAACCTATCAGCAACTTTTGTTATCGTTAGAGAGTGCTTAAGAAGTAGACAAAAGTTCACTTTTAACAATAATTTGTTTGGTGAACATTTCCTACAATCACATAGACTGACTTTGTACTGCCTGAAAATGAGTGTCCTCTGCCTGATGCCTGAATGACTCCTTGGAAATCCATTCTTCCTATCCTTGACGACGAAACAAGCTGCCATTTCTCCTTCTCCTTGGGAAAATAAACAGGGTAACTTCTGACACCGATCCCCAGGGAACCTGATGCAGTTGGAACATGGTTGTGTGACCAGCGAGCACCGTCGTGATTGGTAAATGACATCTAAACTGGGAGGAGCCTGCTCAGGATTGTTACTGCTGGTGGGAAACAGAAATGGGGGCAACCCCAAGTGGGATGTGACTCTTGGAATTTGCATGTACCTTGTAGTGGCCCCAAGGCCCATCTTGTCCTTGTCCTCTGACTTGTTAGTTGGAGGATTAAAGAAGAGCTCCTGGACCACTGTGAAGACTCCCTCTGATGGCACCCCAAATGCTTCCATGCTGACGTTTGTTTTTCTGCATCTTTCTGTGAAGCTCAATGGTGCAAAAGTGTACCTACTGAGTCTAATGAATGTCAACATCAGGTGTAACCCCAAGACCCTGCTACACAGTGGGTGTCACAAATATCAAAACATTTTAGAAAGTAAGGATGATTATGGTATAACAGGCCACAACATGGCACCCACACACCCCTCTAAAATCACTCTTAGAGGATGAGTCCTATTGAGAATATGCCACAAGATATGGAAAATAAATTTGAGTAACTACACAGTAAAATTTTGTTGTTAAATAGACAATCACAAAATAAAGATGCTCCTCAATGTGCAGTAGGCTTACATTGTAAGTTGAAAGCATCACTAAGTCAAAAGTGCATTGAATACGCTAATCTACCAAACATTATAGTCCACCTTAAACGTGCTCAGTACAGCCTATAGTTGGCTCTTATCTTGTTTCATCTCAAGAGTAACGTCTTCCTCTTTTCCTCACCAGAATCATGAGACACAGTTGGGGGTTTTGTAGACACAATGGGATGCAAAACCCCAAAACAATATCCAAAACATGCTGGCAACACAGGGCACTGTAGAGTGTCCATTGTTTAACCCTTGTGATGGTGGAGCTGGCTGGGACCTGCAGCTGCCCAGCATCACGAGAGGCCACCACCTATCACTAGGGAAGAGATCAAAACTCAAAGTTCAGTTTCTACTGAATGCCCATTGCTTTTGCACCATTATAAAGCTGAAAAGTCATATGTTGAATCATAAGTCAAGGACTGTCTGCATATAGAAAGAAAACTAGAATTTTTTCTATTATGTCAACAGCAATCTCCAATTTGGGGGTGCAGTGAAGAAAAACTTCATTCAGTACAAATAGCTTGATTGTGATACAACATGGCTGCAAGGTGGCCCTCAGGGGAGGCAGCTCTCTAGCTAGACAGCTCCAGTCCCATCTGGTCTGGCCTGGTCTAGTCTGCTCTGCTCCAGTGTTGTAGCTCCTCAGTTGTGACTCCAGCCAGGGAACTACAGGGTTTAGCCTTTGGTAGAAATCGAAGTGCACTCCCATAGCCAGAGGGAAGCTGACGTATACAGTGAGTTTCCCACCCCTGGTCCCTGATTGGTCCATCCTCATGCAAATGAAGACTCCAAATCCTCACAGTTTGATTGGTCCAAAGAGCACTGTCCTGATTTGTCAGCGTGGAGCCACTCTGACTGGATGGGGAAAAGTCTCAGTCCTATTGGTTTAAATGTGATTCCAGGAAGTACTTTATAAGGGCTGGCTCAGATGGCAGGAACAGTGCTCAGGCAAGCAGGCAGTCCAGTGCCTGCCACAAGCAGTTGAATGCAGGCTTCTCCCTAAAGCCCCAGCTTGTGTGAGAGGCCCCTGTTTAGTAATGGTTGCTAGGCTCCGTTTTCAAAGTTTGAGCCCAGTCAGCCACCAGGAGCCCTTAGTAGCTATCCTCTTTATCAGGTCAACAGTGGGGAAGGAGTTGTTTTGAAGAAATATAAGTGAATGTTGTTATTTATCAAAGTAACTTAGTGATTACTAGCAGAAAATAAAAACAGAATACATAACTTTAAGAACAGTATTAGAAAATTCAACCTCTAACTGGGCGGCAGCTGCTGCTGAACAGAAGATGATCATGCCTCCTATACATGCTGACCGTGGCAAACCTGCCGGGACTGTGGATCTGTCTTAATAAAATTTGATTAAAAAATAAAGTCTTAGAATGGACTGGAATTTACAAGCTCAGTCTCAGCCAAGACTGAGACCTGCCCAGTGAAGGGCACATGGCAATGTCAACGAAAAAACATCCAGCCTAAGAGAAAGCTTATAAGAGTTTATTTGAGCCAAACTGACTATTGCCGGGAAGCACAATCTCAATGGATTGAGAAAATGCTCTGCAAACTGGCGGTTTGCAGTTTATTTTATACATAGAATCAAAGGAGAAGGGTTACATGAAATCCACTGTTGGTAGATTAAGGGGGTGAGAGAAAGCAAAGCGGGGAAACCTCTGGGGTTGGATAAAAGTAAATTGGAGAGACAGGTACTTCTTCCACATAGGTGGGTACAGAA